CGGCCGCCCAAATCTAATTTTCCTGAATTTATAAATTACCTAGAAAATATATTATGCAACTTTTATGCCCAATATGACAATATTGTTTGTGTGGGAGATTTCAATATAAATGTATTGGATTTAAGCTCACCTCAGGTTGCTCAACTCAATGAAATTTTTTCTACCTTCAATATGAAACAACTTATCAACGAACCCACAAGGGTGTCCGCTACTTCAATTTCATTGATCGATTTGATGTACACGAATGTGGAAAATATTGCTGAAACTGGTGTTCTTGACTTGAATATTTCGGATCATTTTTTAACTTACTTCAAACTTAACTGTTGCGAGCAGAAGACAGAACCTATTTTTTTCCTTTACAGACCATTAAAAGATATATCATTTAACGAATTTCAAAGAGATCTTGAAAATTTACCCTGGCATAATTTTTTTTATATTGCAAATATTGACGATAAAATAGCATTTTTTAATAATTGTATTCTTACATTGTTTGATAAACACGCGCCAATAAAACAATTTCGGAAAAGTAAAAATAATTCTTATGCACGGTGGATTACTGAAAATATTAAATTGCTACAAAAATTAAGAAATAAAGCTTTAAAAAGGTTTAAAGAAACAAAACGTCAAGCGCATTATAATTACTATAAACAACTAAGAAATTACACCACAGCCGCAATACGAGCTGAAAAAAAAGCGTATTACCGCTTCAAATTTCAAAATTCGAACATCAAGGAAAAATGGACTGAATTAAAAAAACTTAATTTAAATAAAAATAAACAAAATAATATCTTACCGGTTAACCTTAGCAATCCTGACAACGTAAATAATTTTTTTGTTAATTCTGTTTTTAGTAATGATATACCAGATGCCGACTTATTGAATCACTACGAAAATAATAGGGCTTATGGGGTAAGTGAAGAATTTGATTTTCAGTTATCGACAGAGGGTGAAGTTTTCGACCTAATCAAAAATATAAAATCTAAGGCTTCTGGAAACGATGAACTAAATATTACTTTGATACAATTATGTTGCCCATTTATCATTCCGTTTATAACCCATATAATTAATGAATGCATTTTAAATTCATATTTTCCTCTATCGTGGAAACAAGCAAAGGTGACTCCTTTGCCCAAAGTTCAAAATCCCACAGAAATGAGTCAGCTGCGAGCAATAAGCATTCTACCAACACCCTCTAAAGTATTAGAAAAAATTATGGACAGGCAAATTAGGGAGTTTTTAAATAAATTTAATGTATTGCCCACTAAACAATCGGGTTTTAGACCTAACCATAGTTGTGAGAGCGCACTGGCTGACTTGACAGATGATATTTTAAGGGCACTTGATGAGAATAAAATTACTACTTTGGTTCTTTTAGATTTTAGTAAAGCGTTTGATATGCTTAATCATAAGCTACTTTTAGCAATTCTTCATTTTGCCGGATTTGGCACAAATTCCTGTAACTTTTTGAAGTCATTTCTGTCGGATCGTTCGCAAAGGGTAATAATCAACAATATACATTCAGAAATTTTATACGTGAAAAAGGGGGTACCTCAAGGTAGCATCTTGGGACCATTACTCTACACTATTTATACTTCGGATTTTTTGACCTCTCTTAGGCATTGTAAATATCATTTTTATGCAGATGATACACAAATATATTTTTCATTTACCGATGAGGATATCGACAATTCCGAAAATAAAATTAATCTTGACTTAGATAATTTTTTTAAGAAGGCTGCGGATCATTTGTTGAAATTGAATCCTGGTAAATCGTCAGTCGTGATTTTTGGTAATGATTCTCAAATATCTAAAGTTAAAAACAGCATGAATATTGTGTTGAACGGTGTACCGCTTCCTTATTCAAATACCAGTAAAAGTTTGGGATTGTTTTTAGATTCTAATTTACGTTTTAAAGAACACGTTACAGCTAAATTAAGAGTGGCATACGGTAACCTAAAACATATCTACAGCCATAGGCACTACCTTCCACTAGATACTAGAAAGTTACTTTGTGATGCCCTTGTTCTTTCTCAATTTAATCATTGTAGTAGTGTCTATGTACCGTGTCTGGATAGTGGTGATCGTTATAGAATTCAGAAAGTGCAAAATTCGTGTTTAAGACTTATATATGGTGTTAAAAGACGTAACCATATTTCACAGTATTTGTCCGAGTCGGGATGGCTAAATATGTTGAATAGATTTAAACTTTATCGAGCCACATTTTACTATAAAATTTTAAAATACAAATCTCCACCCTATTTATATGAGAAAATAACTTATCGCACCGATATACATAATGTGAATCTACGCAGGAAAAATACTTTAAGAATACCACAACACCGAAAAGAAATATTTAAACGTTCATTTTCTTATAATGTTCCGAATTTATTAAACTCTTTAGACTTTTCAAATATTGAACTGTCATGTCATACTTTCAAAAAACAATTTAAAAAATATTTACTTCAGTGTCAGTAAATAAATTTAAACAAAAGTATCTAATAATTGAAAAAAAAATAAAAAAAATAAAAATAAAATAAAAACACCACTCCGTAAACATTGCAATAGCCCCTCTATTTCCTATTTTTCCTACCATTGTCCTCTCCTTACCCTTAAGAATTGTGTTTGGAATCAAAGTAATTTTTAATAATGATAGATCGTGTAGTTGTATTTTTTTCTCGCAGTTAATAATGTTTTAAAATTGATATAATATTAGATTGTCATTTTAAATTGAGGCCTGAACAGTATCTGGAACTTCCAGATGTCTGCATATTTATTAAGGCCTATTGTCGGCTATAAATGCATGTGTTACTTTTAGAATAAAATTGTAAACCATTTTTGTAATTTATGGCATTATGACAATAAATGTATTATTATTATTATTATTATTATTATTATTATTATTATACGAGGGTCAACCTGTCAAATTTCCATGGATAATGCTACGCCAATAATAAGTGAAAAGCATATACATCACGCTTATATACAGGGTGTCCCACGAGGTTTTTCCCAAATGATACTTCGGAACGCATCATCGTATGTTCCGTATGAACAGAGGGAAACAGTAGATGTTTTTTGTAGATGTTGTAACCTTAACCTATTTATACTACTTTCCATGTATACTACTTTATTGCTATCCTTGTTCAAGTATTTTATTTCACTTTCTTACTTTTCCTATTAATTTATTATTAGCCTTTGGCAACACTGTAAAAGACGGGTCACTGTCAAGTGTCTTTAGTCTAGAAGAAGCGGGAAATAAAATGGTGGTTATTGCGAAACGTGTGTTTTTATAACAAGTCTTTTTAATAATATTGAATTACGAGGAGGCTCGAGTGTCTTCACAACATAGATAACCCTTAAAATCTTATTTTGAACGACATTCAGTGGGTTTAAAGTATTTCCATACACACGACCCCAGACCAATGAACCATACCTCAGAATGGATTCAAATAGACTAAAGTACAATGTAATAAGTAGGTTTATATTAAGAAACTGCCGCATTTGATAAAATTTAAAAATCAAGAATCTCAGTTTTTTTGTGACATGAGAAACATGAGGTTCCCATTTAAGATTTTGATCCACTATTATGCCCAAGTATTTGGCAAGACAATTTAATAAATGTTGGTCGGTCGGCTATATTGTTTTGGAGAAGGCAATATAATTCGTTTTACCAACATTCAATGATAGTTTGAAAACGTCCAACCAATTTTTGAGCAATTCAATCTCTATCTGGGCATGTCCCATCGGCCAGGTTGAAGATATGAACAAAATTGTCCGACTTGGTGTTATGAAGCCGCTCAGGAAGTTTGGCGTGTACATGAGTTACAAAATTTTAAGGTCGATGTACTGGGGACTATTATAGGTAGGAGTTATTATGGATTGTTTGAATAGCTTGGGCACTGATAATAATATGTTCTTTTATTTTTTATATAAAAATTTCTGTAGCTTTGGTAATAGGTATTTTTCCATATTTAATTTTTATCTTATCTTATTAAAAGACGTGGCAAAAAAAGGAAAAAAAAAAAACGAGATTTTTGTAGGAGCACTCTAGCTTTTCAAGCATCTCTAGATCCAGAAACTCGAGTAGCAGCTATCGGAACTGATTCACCAGTGCTAGAACTTCTTCGATTCCCAATAATATTTCACAAAAAGCTTTAAATGAATCCAATAGAAATTATATAGATAAAAGCACAAATATTGAAATAATAAGAAGTCACAAAAGTATGGGAGTTGACTTCTTATTTAGATACAGAAATCTTAAACAGCTCCGCAAGGAATTAAATGAAGAAATTGTAGATAATGAGTTGAATTTGAAGAGAAGAGAAGCTTTACAAAAAACAATAAAAGCGATATCAAAAAGATAGGTCTGATTGTGAAGAATTAATTAAATTGCAAAACGCAAGATGAAGTGCAAGATTTGAATTGCCAATAGACAGTTGACCGTTATCCACAATAACCCCCATCACGGAAGCCGATTTAGAAAACGAACACGAAGGAAAACTCACTTCTGGTCAAGCACTACAAAGCGCAGTGGATCTTCTAATGAACAGACCCAATGAAAACTGATGAAGCTTTCAAGTTTTGGAATTTTATTGGTTGGAATAATGATAACGTAGTCGATTTTCGGACTTTTTGTGGTATGGCGGCGTTATGTGAAGGGATCCAATTTTATTGTCGCAGGTTGGCACACCGTAAGTGCGATCCTTGTCATGTGATCAAAGTGGCGGATTTTGAGGTTTTGGCTAGAAAATTTAGTGAGAGAATGATTGAGGCGCGACTCATTCAAATTTTAAATGATATCAAGACTCTGTGATAATTGGCTCACAAAAGACACAAACATTAGGTAAAATTTCTACATTTATTTTATACAGTTTATTGGTAGGTACTTAGCGAAAGGATAAGGAAATATTTTGCTTAAAGAATACGCATAAATAGTTTAGGCTAATGGACAAATAAGAATCCCTTGACATCTCACATCATCACAAGCTAAAAGCGGAGTCCCGTCATGCATGAGCAGTAACTTGAGCCAATGATGTCATAACAGCTTCAGATTCTAGACAATGTGCAACCAAAAGCTAATATTATTGGATTTGAAAAGAAGTTTTACCTATTGCAACATTTTCTTCTTAAATCATCTGAAAAAATTGTTAAGAACTTCATTGACAGTTCAAGAGAATTTTGTTCTCCTAAGATTTTGCAAGAAAATTGAATTGTTTTTTTTTTTTGAGATTTCATCATGTATGATGTATGTTAAAATCACCTTGTTTGCTGTAATAGTTATTTATGTATCAAGGGTACTAAATAGATGATTATGCCCTGAGGGCGACAGTCTTACAAAGCCGAGGGCCTCTGGCCCGAGGGTTCGTAAGTCGCCCGAGGGTATATATATCTATTAGTACCCGTGGTGCATACAAAATTTTATGTCATACCAGTTGGTTGTGAATAATAAATACCTGGGAAAAAAGTGTCACTTCGGAAATTGTCATCAGTGTGCAAACATCATCATTTTTTGACAAAAATAATATGTTTATAAGCGTAAATTTATATTTTGTTAATAAAGAATAAGTTAATTGAAAACTGTTTTTTGCGTCTTTATGCCCGCGCGGGCCATAATGTGTACTTTATGCCCGCTCGGGCATAAAGTAATGGATTATGTAGATGGTATCTAAAGTATAAAAACACAATAATGTATTGGTATGACAAAAAATAAATTAAATAATTGTGTACTGCTATAACGGGAATTATAAAGATCTATGTGGAGACAATACATTCAACGTTAGGGTGATAGTTTCTCATTGTGTAAGGTTATGTAAGGTATCGGCCTAATAATAATGAGATCCTAATATCTTGGAGTTCTTTGTTTAAATAAATATAGCCTATGCAAGTGTAAACTCCAATCCTGCTCAAGTTTGAAGAAAATATATGACACAAATCAGCTTAGACAAGTTGAAGGAAAAGTTTTCAACCATAACTCAGGGAAAGAAATCAAGTTTTTAAACCAAACTAAACAATAGAAAAATAAAGAGAATATGGATTAGAAAAATGAATGATAGACATTCAGCGAGCAGCATGAAGTATGCGGCAAGATTGTATCAATTTATTATACCTATTTATCAATTTTAGATTACACCGCCAACAACATGCAACATGCAAATTCTTACATAAATTTCCATTATCGTTATTATTCAGTCCTAAAATCGCTGCTATCGTAAACGATTTACTGGTCGCAGATGAGTTACTTCTGCATCTTGGTTCCTCGTCCGGCGTCGTGTCTTCGCACAAGCTGGATAGTGCGTTCTCGTTATCGTCATTCTGTTCTTCTAGCTGATGGTATCCAGTTAAAAATCGACTCAAAGTGTTGGTGTAGTTGTTGTAATGGTGGATCATATCATACATTAGACTTGGCGAAAGTGTATCGAAGCGGTTTGGTAGTTTTTCACATGATGAGACGAGGATACCTGTAAAATGGATTATTACAGAAATAGGTTATGTATTTCAGTGTAATTGCTATCCATGCAAGCTGCTGTACATGTAAACTCGAGTAAAAACTACAAAATCCTTTAGCTGGAACTTGGAAGTCAGTATTTTTAAACCTAGAGCAGAATATTTGCTAACCGCGGCTAGAACGATTACGTCGAAAAAGACTAGAAAATTCGTGTGTACCTATGTATTCTATGGTTGGGAAAATAGAATAGAAATAGCTTCATATGATTGGCTTGGGGCTTCATCAGTAGAGGAGGGTATATTCCCGTGGAACTCAACAAGTCAAGCTTTTGAGGGATACCGCTGAAGAATTCTAGAAGTGTCATAGTATTTTGAGACAGTTCGTTATAAAGCTGTGATAACGTCAAAGACAAGTAGGTACCTTACAAAGCTTTATAAAAAAAAAGACAATAAACATCAAAAGCAAAAATTATCCCATGAAACACACCAACCATGGGACAATTTCAAAATGATCAGAGGAGCGCACAGTGAATATGAAAAAGATTACGAAGAATGATAAGAAGCCAAAAAAAAAACAAAAAATGGAGAAAGAATCTTAATCTGATAACGCCTTGTTTCCTTGTTTGATCCATCTATGTTTAACGAACTAGCTGGTATAGTCCAAAACGCACATATATGGAAGGAAATTGGCAAAACTATTGGAAAATGCGACTGAGGCGTGAAAGAATTGTAACAAAAGGAAACCTAAGGAGAGGTCTCACAATTTTATTTATTTGATAAACCAAAAATGGTTAAATACCTATGCATATGTTTTAGACTGGCTATAGTATTTATATTTATTCAAACTTAAAAAAAAAATACATCTACATATAAAGAAAAATCTGATCACATACCCGTCGCTTTCAATTATTCCAAAATCACTGGTTCAAAACACGGCCGCGTTAACAAAACAAATGTCTCAATACAACAAAACTATCACTATCGACATAGAAATCCACGTCCAAATATCTTGGTTCGGAGTGAATTAGCACTAAATGAAGCCGCACCAACTTTTTAGAATTACTCTGTTATCTTGCCTAATAATATTGCTGACAGAAGATACTCTTGTTTTGGGTGATCATCATTGTTACCCCTCCAACCGCAATCCGGGGGTTGGATGTTTCCAGGACACACCCCCTCTGATCCGGGGAGCATCCTTTGTTATCCCTCGGGTCGGTCGGGGATAAAATGTCTATATTATTCTCTCTGTTTCCGTCTAACACTGCTTTTGGGTTAAATGAGGTTGAATAAACTAATTATGGCGCTTAGGGCTTTGTTAAATAGACTTGGTTATAATTAGGGAATTTTCATTAAATTGAGGCTGAATTCTTAATGAAATGTATATATAATGTATTCATTTTTCGACGATAATTCGTATACTGTTGACTGCGTAAAGAGTTTCTGGAACATGTTTATAATATTCTTTGGCAACTATGATTTTTTTTTTTTTTTTTTTTTTTTTACGGATATGCGCACTCGCAAGGAAATGTCCTATCACACTCGAGAAGCGGCAAGTGCGCGGAAATGTCGGTGTATGTTGGTCTTGAAACGGTTCAGGTTGTAACCTGCAGGGAAAACCGTCGCAGGGAGTTTATTCCACAGCGATGCTGTTCTCCAGAGATATGAATTCTGATATAATGAGGTTCTTGGTGCCTCTAGTTTGACAGTAAATTCATGGTTACCGTCTGTTTGACGGGTTCGCCTGGTAGGTGCTACTCTCGGTGGAATCATACGTGCCAACTCTTCAGAGCATTTTCCGTGATAGTACCTGTAGAAGAGAGATAAATCGCCCACAGATCTGCGATGTTCGAGACCATCCAAGTTACGAGTAAGTGCGGGGTCATTGATCAGCTTGATAGCTCGTTTTTGCACGGTATTCAAAAGCATTAAGGTATGTTTGGGTGCTGCACTCCATATATGTGAGCAGTACTCCATAGTTGGTCGAATCTGGGCTTTGTAGAGTGTCAGCAATTGGCTTGGTGTGTACAGATGTCTTGTACGAAATAGCACCCCCAGCTTTTGGGAGGCCCTTTTAGCAATATCTGCCACGTGACTGTGCCAAGACATGTTGGTCTCTGCAGTAACCCCCAAGATGTTCAACTGACTCTGTAATGTGACAGCACTTCCAGATAGCATGATGTTTGGCTCACCGGTGCTGGTCTTTTTTGAAAACAGAGCTGCTTGGGTTTTCTGCGCGTTGAACTGTACAAGGTTTTTGTTACCCCAGTCCTCTATTATCTCCAGGTCGTTATTTATCTCCGATATTTGAGTTAGTCTAAGATGATGGAATTCACGTGCGGAAAGACCTGTGGGTGGTATGAGTGAGGAGACTACATTGCCATCGTCTGCAAAGCAATAAAGTGGATTTACTGTTTTATCTATGAGGTCATTTATGTAAATCAGGAAAAGAGTTGGTGAAAGGATTGCTCCCTGTGGCACACCAGCATTTATTTGGTAAGAGTTGGAGTTCTGGCCATCCAGTGCAACATAAATGGATCTGTCCTTTAGGTAACTTTCAAACCAAGTGCAAAGTTTCGGCGATAATCCCATTGCTTTGAGCTTGTTGAGCAGATTTTCATGCCAAACTTTGTCGAATGCTTTAGATATATCTAAGGCAATTGTTCTTGTTTCACCCCGCAACTCAATCGCTTTTTGCCATAAGTGAGTGACGTATGTAAGTAAATCGCCAGTTGACCTATATTTTCGAAATCCGTATTGCTTATCGTTGATAATTTTGTACTTTTCCAAGTACTTGGTTAGGTGATTGTTCACAACTCTTTCCATTACTTTTGATATCACCGGAAGTAGAGCAATTGGTCTATAGTTTAACGGATCTGTCTTTTTTCCTTTCTTTGGAATGGGTTGTACTGCGGCAGACTTCCATGATGATGGATATACTCCTTGCCTGTAAGACAAATTGAATAATTTTGCGAAAGTTGGGGTGAGTTCGTTGGCGCAATTTTTGAGTACTATTGCGGGAATGCCATCCGGACCCATTGCTTTGTTTGTATCCAGCTTTTTTAGGGATTTTCGTATTTCTCTGTGACAAAAGGGTACCTCTGGCATACTATGGGAAACCCTTTCAATGAACGGTGGAGTTTTTCCGTTTGGCACTGTTAGGTTGGAGTTGGAGGAAAACATTTGGGCAAGCATATTGGCTTTTTCCTCTGATGTTGTGGCTAAGTGATTATTTTTATCTGTAAGTGGTGGTATGGATGACTTGGTGAAGTTAGATCCAACAGCTTTTGCAAGAGACCAAAAAGACCTAGAACTACTTGGACAATTCAGCAACCTGTTTTTTATTCTTTGATTGTATGTTTCTTTAGCGGAGTCAATAGTAATTTTGCAACTATTTCTGGCTTCTATAAATTCTGTGTGGTTTTGAGCGGTTTGTTGTCGTTTTCAAAGGTTATATGCTCTGTGTTTTTTCTGTACAGCCGTTTGACACTGGCTGTTGAACCAAGGTTTTGCATTAGCTCTACGTTTAGTTGTATGTGGGATATATGCGTCCATTCCAGATAAGATTACTTGTGTTATTTCATTACAGCAAATAGTGGGATCAGCTGTTTTAAAGCAAACCTCTTGCCATGGAAAATCCAGGTAATACTGTTTTAGGTCATTCCATTTTGCCGATTTATAGTGCCACATTTTACGAGGAAGTGGTTGTAGGCTTGGTGGGATGAGCATTTCGCACTTTGTTATTATAAGTTTATGATCGGACGAACCAAGTGGAGCATCTACTTGAATTGTGTACGAGTCAGGATTGGTGGTTAGGAACAAGTCTAAAAGCGCTGCAAATTCGCCCCTTTCCGAGATACGGGTAGGTTCATCGACAAGCTGCGTTAGACCACAACTTATGGCAAAAGCTTCTGCTTCTCTGCCTTCGTTATCTGTTTTGTTGTGGTGTTTCAGCCAGGGTATATTGTGGACGTTGAAATCGCCTAAAAGGACAATTTCCGCCTGTGGATAGTTTGACTGTATACTATCACAGCTTTCGGATAATGTCGCGAAAAAGTTTTGGTACTCGGTGTTAGATGGCGGTCGGTAGAGGCAGCAGATAAACTTGGTCGATGACTTTGAGGTGAATTTTAGCCATATGATATCAAGGTTCGCTGGTTCTAGCTTCTCCTCTCGATGACATGAAAGGTCATTTTTAATGTACACACAGATCCCAAAATTATGTCGAAATCGGTGGTGTAGGTCATAGCCGGGATAAAGATAGTTCACAATAGGTGTTGCAGAACCGATTTTAGTTTCAGTGAGAACAAGGATGTCAGGTCTTTGTTCTTCAAGATGTTGGTGAACTGAATTCATATTTGTACTTATTCCTCTTATATTGCTAAAATCAATTCTGAGTTGAGTTTTTGATCTTCTCTTTATATCTTTGCATGAAGGACCCCCAGGATCACCCGACGCCCGGAGATCCGAGTGGTCGGGTATTTTACCTCCGGAATATTTTGATCCTGGAGGCGCCATCATGCTATCTGTTACTCATTGTTGGAACCGGACTGCCAGCGCAGTAGCGGAACGTGGTGATACCACTTAGCGCTACTCAATTCTGGCATGGTGGTATCTCACCGGTCGACGCCCAATGAGTAAAAAGCGTCTACCACCTTGTGTATGATTATATGATTATCGATAAAAGAGTCGCTAAATTCGATATGAAGATTTTTTTTTAAATTCCTGGAGAGATTTGCAATGGCAATCTGCCCTGAGGGCAATAAGCGTTTATTATGACTATAGAAGGTAGTGGCATGTAGAGTATCACTCCAGTGAGTGATCATATCTCCCTAAAAAAATAATCTAAATATCTAGAGTTTGTTTTTCTATGAATTCCCAAGTCCACTATCTGGGTTCTACAGCTAGGTCGAATGGTAACAGCCGTTTCAGTCTACGCACTGCGTTGTTGTCGGACACAGTTAATTATTTGGCCAACGCATTAGGATGCACTAGCACTCTTTGGATGTACTTCGCA